TATATGTATTTAAGAATAGTTTTTTTAAAAGATTTAAACACAGTTTCAGAGAAGATTCTAACACACACTGATAATTAAAACGTATACTAACAAACAACTGTTTCACGTCTTCTCTACATACATACACACACACACGTATATATATATATATGTATGTATATGCATATATATATATATATATATATATGTATGTATGTATATTGGTTGAATGATCATCTTCAAAAAAGGACAAAAAATAAAACACAGAAATAAAAAAAAAACGCATTAAAATATATTAAAACATTTGTTGAAAACATTTCAGTCATAAAACATTCCACTGTTTTCAATTTGTTCATTAAAACAACAAGAAAACAACTTTGTTTCTTGAAGCAAAACTTTATGAAATTTATTTCTCTGATAGTGTGACACATTACTTTCATAGGTATAAATCCCTCAGAAACATATACATATCACCTATATATATATATATATATATATATGTATATATTATTGTATGTATAAAAGTGTCTATAAATAGGAACGCCTTGCATCTCACTGTATTTATAATTTAATCGAATCTCTCATATGATATTTCTTTTAAACTGTGCTTTTTTAATTTAAAATTTAATTTATTTTATATTTGGGCTGTAAACCCTACACCGGACACTTCCGTACACACACAAAAAGTCACACAAAAAGTCACACAAAAAGTCACACAAAAAACACACGACAAAACTGAATCAAGACTAGAAAAGTTGAACTTTATTTTAATATAAATTATTTGTTAAAAGGTTTAAAAACCTCAAAAGTCGAAATATTTTATCATCAACTATCATCATCAATAACAGAATAAAAGCTATAGTTAAAAATACTGAAAGCCAATTTGTTTTCTCAAAGCTTTTTCGTGATATAAAATTTAATTTTATGTGTAGAAAATTATTATAAACCCTCACTATCGACTATTTTTTTAAAAAAATATTTCGACAAGGCAAGGAGTAAAAGAAAAAAATAATTCTTGCAGAGAACTAAATTCAACTTTTAAATTCACTTCTTAGAAAAAATAAGTGGCTTCAAAACAACGCAGAGACGTTTCGTGTGTATATATATACATTAAAATACTTTTGATCTACGATTCGATCAGCGTATACCTATACCTATATATGTACGTATTGACTACCCAGAGTACGTATATATATATATATATATATATATATATATATATATATATATATATATATATATATACGTCTGTCTATATGCGTATGTAAACAATAACTAATTGAAAACATATGCAATCAATACGAGATTGATTCAGTGAATTATTAATTAGTCTGTTAATTTATATTCGTTTATTTAATAATTAACAAATTTATTTACTTACATATAGAGAGATACTTATAGATAGATAGATAGATAGATAGATAGATAGATAGATCTAACGAAAATATCGTGTACACCTTTATACGAACGTGATGATCACTTAAATTGAGGAAGTAGACAATATTTCTTTTCATTTCTTTTCTTTTTTAGTAAAGGGAAAATCGTGTCAAGAAAAATTATTTAAATGAAAAATAGAATTTCTTAGTTGTGATAATTTAAAAATAAAACGAAATTAAAAAATGCCTTTTCTGTTCGGCTACCTTCCTCGTAAACTACAAATATTTTTACCCACAGGAAAACAATAATCCCCCCCCCAAGATACACAATACACACTAACATTTGAAATGCAAAAACGTGAAACTGATTTAATATTTAATGTACATATGTCTTTCGAGTTATGTGAACGAAATACAACAGAATAAAGGTCTTGGCAGTCGTTAAGAAGAGATAAAACTAATAAAAAAAAAGTTTCTTGTACTACCAAGGCATTATCAGTTCACCGGTAAATGAACAGGAAACAAAAAAGTTTAACGAAAACATAAGCACACATACACACAAATATTGGCCAGTAAATCTTTGCCTGCACACACACACGTGTGTATATATGTGTGAGGGCTGATCAAGTATATATATTAAGTACAAAAAATACATTTGTATCATATTTACACACACACACACACACACACACACACATGCACATTTAAAAACACGTTAAAAATTACAAGGAATACAAACACACATTTCCTAGTGTGTGTATATATATGTATATATAGATTTGTATATGTATATATATAATTAGATATATATATACATACATATCTATATATATATATATAATTTATATATATATATATATATATATATATATATATGTATATATATATATATATGTATTTGTATATGTATATGTGATTGAACCTAAGCGTGAAACTACCAGGAGAGAAAATCATTACCGTATGAAAGGATATAATTCGTGGATTTTTATTGTAGTACTCACAAAACTATCAGAACGACTTCGACTCCACGTGGGGTCTTGTCATGGTATGGTTCCAAGGTAAGTAAAATTAATTTCTGTTCATCTTCTGTTTATATTGATATATTTCACATTATAATTTATCTATCTATCTATCTATCTATCTATCTATCTATCTGTCTGTCTGTCTATCTGTCTGTCTATCTATTTCAATATGTATGAATATATATATATATATATATATATATATATAGACATACATATTTATATAAAAATATTCATGCATATATATATTCTCATATATGTATTTTTATATATTCATATATATATATATATATTCATATATATATATATATATATATATATATATATTATTTTATTTGTAGACTAAGTTTGTTTGTTTATTGATATAGCCCAATGTGACACTAAGAAATTTGCGTCCTTTGCGCACGACGTTTTGTGAACTTTCTTGCTTAAACAGCTCAGAAATGTGTTACCTGTTTGTGTTCGCTTTAATTGTCAGTAGTACTTTTTGTCCTATATATTATGTATATATATATATATATATATATATATATATATATATATATATATATATATATACGTGTGTATACGTGTGTCTGTGCTTGAGGTGGGGACAATTTGTTTATATGGATATCCGATTAAATTAAGGAAGAATTAGGGAAAGTATATGAATTTGTTATTTTTTTTCGCTTTTTTGTTTTAACTTAATCATAAATAACAAAAGATGACAAATTTTTAAAGATTTTGCTGCTTATTGCATTTTTTAATCGTATATCGGCTGGTAAGTGTGTTTATGTGTGTGCGCGCGTGTGCCTCTCTGTGTGTGTGTGAGCGCGCGTGCGTGCGTTCGTGTGTGTGGCACAAATAGACTTATTAAAATTACTATATAACTGATCGTACAATTCTATTACTCTACGTGCTCATAATCTATCTATCTATCTATCTATCTATCTATCTATCTATCTCATTCTGTTCGTATCTATCTTTCTGTCTTTGTTCCTATCTATCTATCTATCTATCTATCTCAGTCCGTTCGCATCTATCTATCTATCTATCTATCTATCTATCTATCTATCTATCTATCTATCTATCTATCTCAGTCCGTTCGTATCTATCTCTCTGTCTTTGTTCCTATTCATCTATCTATCTATATCTATCCATCTATCTATCTATTCATCTATCTATCAGTCTGATCATTATCATCTATCTATCAATCAATCTATCTATCTATCTATCAGTCTGATCATTATCTATTCATCTATCTATCTATATAATTATCTCTTTTGTTCGTATGCATGTTAGTCTGTTCATTATCTTTGTCTCTCTATCTATCTATCTATCTATCTATCTATCTATCTATCTATCATTTTCCTTTGTCTGTTCGTATTCATATCTATCTATCTATCTATCATCTATCTATCTATCTATCCCAGTCAGTTTCTATCAATCTCTCTCTCTCTCTCTCTCTCTCTCTCTCTCTATCTATCTATCTATCTATCTATTTCAGTCTGTTTCTATCCATCTCTCTATGGGTCTATCTATTTATTTCAGTCTGTTTCTGTCTCCTTCTCTCTCTCTCTCTCTCTCTCTATCTATCTATCTATCTATCTATCTGCAAACAAATGTATATTCACTGCTTATTTACACTATGGACTTGTAAATCTTTGGACGGTTTCGCGATCATCCACAATGTATTTTAAACACACACACACACACACACACACATATATATATATATATATATATATATATATATAGAGAGAGAGAGAGAGAGGTGTAAATATCTATATTTATCTGTTTCCATAAATATATGGCTATCTATCTATCTATCTATCTATATATGTATATATATATATATATATATATATATATATATATATAGAGAGAGAGAGAGAGAGAGAGAGAGAGGAGGAGTGGCAGGAGGAGAGGGCTTCTAGAGAAATAAAGATATACATCTGTTCTTATTTCGTTCTTTCGGAAGTGGGTAAACACCTCTTATATATTATTAGCCGTAGGGATTTACATTGAGCAATTATTGGACGTAGTAACTATTTACAGAGGCATATCTATCTATCTATCTATCTATCTATCTATCTATTTCATCCTGTCCATATCTATTCATTCATCTATCTATCTATCTATCTATCTATCTATTATTATTATTATTACTATTATTCATCTATTATTATTATCTATTATCTATCTATCTATCTATCTATTCATTATTCATCATAATCTATTCATCTATCTATTCTATCTATCCAGTCAAATAAACTTCTTTTCACACATAACCACCGAAGTGCGGCCTTGGCATTGCCACGTGAGTTTTTATCCAAACCTGTCGGCTTTGTAGCTATTTACTCGCTCTTTTGTGAACCTGTGTTAAAAAAAAAAAAAAAAAAACTGTGTAACCATTACGTGTTCGTCCTAGCAAAGATCGCCGCGTATGTGTGTTCTGATGGATTCGTCGCGCGAACCCAACATTTGACATAAATAGCTTGTTTGCTTTAATTAGCGACTCTCATCATCGCGCGACATTATTAAACTCTCGGAGATAAATAGTTTTTTTTTTCTTTTTTTTTTGCTGGCTACTGCTGGCAAAAAATAATTTGAATTTCAATGAAATCCCTAGATTGCAGCAGTCTCAGAATAAGTTGTATTCAATGAAAGTAGGCCGATATGGTTGAAGGATGAATTGAAAAGTTTGTTTAGTTAGTTGAGTTCGGCCAAATGGAGAGAGATCGATTTTGTTGTAACAATATTCCGACGGTGTTAATATTGGACGGCTATTTATAAAAAAAATTAAATTTTGAGATTTTCAATCTGGGTATTCGTGCTGTCGGCACGATCACGCAACTATGACACTCACTAAATAAATTTTGAAGAGAGATGTGATGGGGTGACAGACAGATAAAAAATGTCTTACGAATAGGGACACAACAGATTAGATAGATAGATAGATAGATAGATAGATAGATAGATAGATATGAACAGACTGAGATAGATAGATAGATAGATATATAGATAGATATGAAGAGGATGAGATAGATAGATAGATAGATAGATAGATAGATAGATAGATAGATAGATATGAAGAGGATGAAATAGATAGATAGATAGATAGATAGATATGAAAAGGATGAAATAGATAGATAGATAGATAGATAGATAGATAGATAGATATGAAGAGACTGAGATAGATAATATGAATAAACAATAGACAGATAAATAATACGAATAGGCTGAGATATATAGATAGATAATATTAATAAACTGAGATAGATAGATAGATAGATAGATAATATGAACAGACTAAAATAAAAATAGATAGATAGATAGATATGAATGAACTGAGATGAATAGATATGAATGGAGTGAGACAGCCAGATAGATAGATAGATAGATAGATAGATAGTGAATACACCTTGATAGATAGATAGATATGAACAGACTGAGATAGATAGATAGATAGATAGATAGATAGATAGATAGATAGATAGATAGATATGAATAGACGGAGATGGATAGACAGATATCAACAGAATGGGAAACATATATATCTATATAGATAGACAGATGTTAACAATGTGAAATATATCACTATGAACAGATTGTGCTAGATATTAGCAGTCGGCATAGTCCGTATCACTTTTACTTAAACGATCATCAGACCATGTGTATTTATTTCTACCTATGATCTATCCATCAAATTTTAAATGCCATCCACGCGCAAATATATAATAACAGAGATGGAACAACTGATATGTCGATTTAAGAATTCCGCCGTTTTTTCATTTCTTTATTTTATTTTGACTCGAGATTTCTGCATAAAAAAAAAATAAAAAAGCCTGTGGATTGAAAATTATTTTCTATCCTATTCTTGCCAGGTGAACGACTACCCTTTGAAGTCTAACCTTATTTCGCAAGGATAGAAAAAAAAATCAACCTGGAATTTCAAAACACCTCTACCCGTCGTCTCATCTAGCAGGTGACGTTTCCCTTTCAATGTAGTTGTTCAGTCTGTTTGCATACTAAATTAACGATAGAAATATTCAGTCCGCAAATATTTACTCAGTTTGGACAAATCGGGAACACCGTGTTGCGCCAGTTTCTGAAGCGTCTGTTTACATTGGGAAAGTAATTTTCAAAATCTTGTCTTTTTTCTGAACTTGAGCTTCAGTCACTTTTAACGATGGTTTTTTTTTAACAGTCCTTTACAGCAAAATTTATTTCCTGCACATAATCTAAAAACTAATTATGACGCCATTATTATTATTATCATTATTATTATTATTATTATTATTATTATTATTGAATCCCAGAGCAGCACGTGAACAAATTGACGCAGGGGTACAAATATCGAATCTTCTTCTATAATTACCGTGCCAGATCAGGATGTAGGCGATCATGGCTCTCCACGACTTATCTGTCCTTTGTTGCTCTTAATAAATCATTTTGTTATCTCTTCTAAAGCCTGTTCTTCCATCCATTTACTTAAGCTCAATTTTTTTCTACGTGCCATGTCCTTTCAGGAAGTTGGCGATCATGGCTCTCCACTATTTTCTAAACCTGTTCTGCCATCCATAACTCTCTAGGTAGGTTATGCATTGTTCTCCTATGTCCTGTTTGCCGTCCTGTGAATATCAGATTCTTAATTTTCTCGAAAACTTCGTCGTTGTTCACATGGTCGGTCCTTGGTATCCTCAGCAAGAGTGTACCAAGCGCATGCGCCAAAGCCAAATTTAAACAATATGGTTGCAATTAAAACAGACTATGACCTAACAGGTGAGATCCAGTTAGAAATGCTCAGTCCGTTTAAAGTGTCCCCGATTGACAACGTATAGTCGGATTCATTGTGTAATTGCGAAATTCACGATCCTTCCATTAAGTTTTTGTTTTAAATCATTTCATCCCAAACAAGGCGATAATGCCACTAAGATGCAAGGTGGTTACTGGGTGTGAAAGAGAATAAGACTTTAGTGAGGAGAAAGGACAATAAAAGAACAGGTTTCAGGAAGACAGAAGATGGCTATAATGCCACTAAGACATAAGGGGTTCCTGGGAGTGAAAGAAAATGAGAAGAGTTTAGTAAGGAGAAAGGACAATAAAAGAACAGGTTTCAGGAAGACAGAAGATAGTGATAATGCCACTAAGACATAAGGGGTACTGGGAGTGAAAGAGAATGAGAAGACATTAGTGAGGAGAAAGGCCAATAAAAGAACAGGGGTCAGGAAGACAGATGATGTCGACTGGCGTTGCATTTAAATCCTTTAGATCGTAGATGACAGGGAAGCCAGAAACAGAAGTGAGTTCCACAATGGAGAAATTCGAGAAAAGAAATAGAACTTATGGTTACATCGAGCTAATCCAAGCGCAAATCGATGAGACCTAATTGCCAATCTAGTAGCACGATTAAATTCATGCGGTCCAGATGTCTAAACAGAGATTAATATCTATTTTTCTATAATACTAAAATGAGGCACACACTCAACAGGATGGATAGGTGAAGGCTGGTCTTCAGTTTGTCTTATATTAAACTTACCTCGCTACGATTGCGAACCCAAACATACCATAGTATACCTTACACCAAAACAACACATTCTTACTTAACATTCTTACTGCAGTCACCATAATACCTCAGGGTCTCTGTGAAATCCTAACTAGTTCCAATATGTACAGTTTGTCTGTGTTAGGATGAGGAATAAAAATAACAACATTTAAAAATGAAACTCTAATGAATATATACAAAGAATATAATTTATATACAAGAAACTAAACAAAATGGTGTTAGTAATACAACAAAAACACAATCCTTAATTGTGGCAGAAAAATCAGTTCTGGAAGAAATTAATGCTGACCTAGGTAATTAACAACAATCATTCGACCAAGCACTCAAACACACTCATCCTCACAAAACAAGTACACACTCGAAAAACGATGACAATAAGAAAAGCTCATTAGAACAACTACCTTGAAAATATTTATAGAAAAGGCAAAGGGAAGCCACTACACGGCGGTGGGAAAATGCCAGGTCAAAGGGTATTTGGCTGGTTGATTTTGTTTAGCGGCATATCAACACCTCTATGGTTTATTTAATGCCGAAATCTAAATATTTTGCACAATTTTAGGACTAAATATATTTTGAACGTAATTGTATGGCTTCAACTACAGATAAAATGTATTATTGGTCATTTTGCAATTAAAGTAATGTTGGTCATTTTGCTATCAAAATATATTGTTGGTCACTTTACTATAAATATGTATTGTTGGCAATTCTACTATAAATAAGTATTGTTGGTAATTATATTAGAAATATGTATTGTTGGTCATTTTAATATAAACAGGTAACTGTCTATATTTCTGAGATGAGGTATTATGTACACGATTTATAATATTCGGACTATTGTCTTCATCTTTGTCGCCATATTTATTACAGCGTTTCGGTCTTTCATTATCTGTCTATATTTCTGAGATGAGGTATTTTATACACTATTTATATTATTCGGACTATTGTTCTCATCTTTGTTGTCATATTTATTACAACGTTTCAGCCCTTGTACAATCCGTCCTTCTTCAGGTGGTTTGAATGTCGAACTGAACCCTTTATTTCGCTCACTGGGGTAGACTGTTCTAGTTCCATCAATTATCTATCTATCTATCTATCTATCTATCTATCTATCTATCTATCTATCTCGGTTTGTTAAGATCTATCTATCTATATACTTTTTCAGTCTGTTTATCTCTCTCTCTCTCTCTCTCTCTCTCTCTATATATATATATATATATATATATATATATATATATCATATTCTATCTATTCATCTGTCTCGTTCTGTTCATATCTGTCTATTTTCTTTCTCGCTCTCTCGCACTCTCGCGCTCTCTCGCTCTCTCTCTATCTATCTATCTCGTTCTGTTCATATCTATCTATCTATCTATCTATCCATCTATCTATCTACATCTATCTATCTATCTATCTCTGTTCTGTTCATATCTATTCATCTATCTATCTATCTATCTATCTATCTATCTAGTTATGTTCATATTCATTCATCTATCTATCTATCTATCTATCTATCTATCTCGTTCTGTTCATATTCATCTATTTGTTTCTCTCTATCTCATCTATCTCTTTCTCTCTCTCATTCATCTATCTATCTATTCATCTATCCTGTTCTGTTCATATTCATCATCTATTCATCTATCTATCTATCTATCTATCTATCTATCTATCTAGTTATGTTCATATCTATCTATCTATCTATCTATCTATCTATCTATCTATCTCGTTCTGTTCATATCTATCTATTTGTTTCTCTCTCTCTCTTTCTCTCTCTCTCTCTCTCTATCTATCTATCTATCTATCTATCTCGTTCTGTTCATATCTATCTATCTATCTATCTATCTATCTATCTATCTATCTATCTATCTATCTATCTCAGTTCATTCATATCTATTTATATATATCATCTTCTTCAACTCTATACACCTAACGTCTCCTCCTGAACTCTGAATTTTTTTTCGCTAATTAAATCTTGTCGTTTTCAAGTCTAGAATTAACTGTTCACCTTTCATTTTATCTTAGCCTTTCTGACGCTAATACAACTCCGCAGAGTAACTTTCTAACTTGAGTGGCGCTTGGGCCTTGTATTATTAAAAAAAAGCTTAACCAAATTGGCCCATGTCGAACCCTGGGAGTACGATGTGACTATCCAGGGTTCGATAAATATATGTGATCAAAAGTGGTCCCCTAAATAAATCATAGTGACTTTTCGGCGAAAACTCACCATTTTTCCGCCAAATATCACCCCCCACTTGGAACTGCCCAAGAAAAGCACCATTTCCATTATTGATGACAATCAATTCCATAAAATGTATATTAATTCATTTCTAATCTGTTTTTTCTTTTATTAAATACCGTATATCCTTTGATTTCTGTTGTATACACATTTCCTTCCGGATCCCAACCAGAGACCTAAGGTCCGAAATGGCTTCATGACATTTTTCATTGAAAGTTTTTAAACGTAGGATAACACAGTGTTTACAGAGATGACGCCCTTCGTAAGGTGTGAGTTGTATTTTTTTATTTCTTTAAGGCATTATTATTATTATTATTATTATTATTTTGTTATGGACACACTACCTTACTAAGTTCGCGGAAAGACCTAAGGCAGGTCGTGGTGTGTTGTTATGGCCACATTTCATGTTAATTTAATTTTTTTTTTTTTTTTTTTATCTCCGATGAAGTTTTTAGCGTTACATAGACAAAGTTCTCCTTAGTGTGTGTGCTGTACTTATTAAGACAATTTTCTGTATGTCTTTAAGCTGGGGTTTCCAGGATTCTTTCAATGTGTTGTTTTGTTCCATTTTTTATAATTCCAAGTGCACCTATTACCACTGGTATTATTCTTGTTTTCAATTTCCACATTTTTTCTATTTCAATTTCCAGGTCTTTGTATTTTGATAGTTTTTCAAATTCCTTGGTTTTTATGTTACAATCCGCTGGGAAGCCATATCAATTAGTAGGCAAGTTTTTTTCTTTCTGGTTTTTGACAATAATGTCCGGCCTATTTGCTTCAATTTTTCTGTCTGTGTGGATGGTATAATCCCATAGAATGGTGACATCTTCTATTTCTGTAACTGGCGCTGGCCGATGTTCATACCAGTGTTTGCTTACACATTTTCCAAAGTGTTTGCACATTGTCCAGTGTAAGTATTGCCCCACTCTATCGTGACGATTTTATATTCATTGGGGCAAGTATAGAACATCCTGAGATTAGATGGTCTATTGTTTCTTGGTATTTGTCACAGAACCTGCATTTTGGATCCACATTATTATGTATGATATTTGCCTGAAAATTCCTAGTGAAAAGACTCTGGTCTTGCGCTGCAAGAATAAAGCCTTCAGTTTCAGACTTTAATCCAGATGCTCGTAACCATCGATGAGTATTATTATTATTATTATTATGATTATTATTATTATTATTATTATTATTATTATTATTTCCTTTGATTTCTGTTATATACACATTTCCTTCTGGGCTTCAAACAAGAGATTTAAGGTCATCTTTTGCTTCATTAGATTTTTACTAGACATTTTTTAACGTAAGATCACACATTTTACATAGATAAAGTCTTTTGTAATGTCTGATCTTCTTTGAGTACAATGTTTGGCATCTCTTTAAGGTATAGACTACAAGCAATCACTTCAGTGTGTCTATCCGTACCTTTTCTAATCAATTCCGAGGGCTCTAACTACAATTATTATTTCCTTTCATTTCTGTTGTATACACATTTCCTTCCGGGTCCCAACCAGAGACCTAAGGTCAGAAATGGCATCAGGACATTTTCACGGCAGACTTTTTATAAGAAAATAAAAATAAAACAACTTAGGATCATATATTTTACATAGACAAATCCTTTCGGGAGAAACGGAAGTAAACACATTCTGTTTTGTGTTTTTTGCTCACGATGTCTGGGAAATTAGTTCTGATTATTCCGTCTGTCTGTATTTTAAATTCCTATACAATTGTTACACGGTCCTGTGTCTGTAACCAGGTCTGGGTAATGTTCATACCAGGTTCTTGCGGTTTCCTTTCCGTAAAAAATTGCAGATTTCTCAGTGCCGATATTGGACAACTTTGTCCTGTAGAGTGGATGCTAAAATTGTGCAACCTGATTCAAAATGAACAATTGTCTCTGGATATTCATTACAGAATTTGCATTTGGGGTTAGCGTAATTTTTCATTATGTTTGCTTGGTTATTTCTAGTGAGCAAGCATTGGTCCTGTGCAGCAAGAATAAAACCATTGGTTTAATTTTTTAACCTCGTACTAAGTAACCCCTGATGGATATGGAATTTATCTATATCAGATCACTTAACACTGGTAGAGTGTTGACTATGAAGAGGTTTATTTTGCCATCATTTCTACATTTGATCCATTGCATTTGCATTTGCATTTCCTTTCTGTTTATTCTTTTTACACCTGCAGTAGGTGTATTATATTAGGTTGTTTCAAAAGTTCGTAAACACTTGCGAAAAATTGAATTTTTATGCAACACAATCCAGCCCAATCGAGACAAGCGATGGGTTCAGAAAGGGCAAGAGACACCGTCGGTTCCAAAACAAGATCGATTCGGCAAGAAAGTCATGTTGTGCGTTTGGTGGAACTTTGAAAGAATCGTGCATTTTGAGTTGGTTCCGAATGGTCGTGCCATCAGTGCTGAACTTTACTGTCAGCAACTGGAGTGGGTCTACGAAAAGTTGAAGCAAAAGTACCCGGCTCTGATCAACCGAAAGCGCGCTTTGATGCAGCAGGACAATGCCAAGCCACACACCGCCCGGAAGACCAAAGACAAGTTTTCAAGAGCTGGACGGCGTTGAGGTTCTGCCACATCCAGCCTACAGTCCTGACTCTGCTCCATCAGATTACGGCCTTTTCCGCTCAATGCAACACTTTCTGAAGGGCCGCTGATTCGACTCGTTTGATGAAGTCGAGGAAGTGTCAAGAATTTTTGATTGAAGCCGGCTGAATGGTACTTTCACCAGATCCGAAAGCTTGCAGATCGATGGCAGTAAGTCTTGGAAAATGATGGTCTTTATTTTGAGGAATAATTTTGTTGTTTTTGTTATTATTTATGAGTAAAATTTCAATTTTTTGCAAGTGTTTACGAACTTTTGGGACAACTTAATAGTTTATTTGCACTTATTCACCCACTTGAAATTGCATTCTTAATCTTTGGCTTGCTATTATTATTATTATTATTATTATTATTATTATTTGAATAAGTATCAAATATATTATGTTTTTTAGAGACATTTATTCCAAATCTTATTTCATGTAGATATCTAAAGAAAACCTATGAATCCAATATATTATTATTATTATTATTATTATTATTATTTGAGTTATGTATCAAATGTATTTTCGTTTTTTAGAGACTTTTATTCCAAATCTTATTTCATGTAGATATGTAAAGAAAACCTATGACTACAGTGTATTATTATTATTATTATTTTTATTTTCTTTGATTTCTGGCGTTTACACATTTCTTTCCGGATCCCGCTCAGGAACCTAAGGTTAGAAATGGCATCATGACACTTTGCACTGACAAAAAAAAAAAAAAAAAAATTACATAGATAAAGCCCTTCGTAAAGTGTGGGTTGTACTTTGAGGCATGGACTTCCAGGAATCCCATCAATTAGTCTATTGGAATCTTTTCCAACCAATCCTAGAGCTCCAACTACAACAGGGATTGTTGATGTTCCCATATGCCACATGTCCTTAGGCCCTATAAAAGAATTGTCATTTAATTGATAGCCCTTCTCTTACTATATGGGATGTTCCTAGCAGGACGATCTTCTGGGCAAATTGTATGTTGATGTTACCTGGGACACTGTTAGTAAAATTGCCCATTCCTTTTCTCATGAGGCCCAGTGCTCCGATTACTATTGGTACAGTCTGAATCTTCATTCTCCACATCCTGTTAATCTTGATCTTCAGGTCCTTGTATTTGAACAATGTCTCGATAATTTTCATGGAGGTGTTTCTGATGGTACTGCTATGCCGGATATTCAGGCGGTTGGAGGTGGCATTGTTACTTGTGCGATTTAGGTATAATGTGGTTTTCCACATTCCCCATGCTGTGTTTAAGGAAATTTACTGCCACGGAGGAGACTTTGTATATTTCCAAAATCTTAAGGATCCAAGTGGCACAGTATCAATGGCTTTACGGTAATCTATACATGCTGTGCTGATATTTCTAAATCCTTTCATGCAAATTTCCAGGATCATTTTGTTCATCAGTAGTTGATCTTTGCAACCATATAATCCTAACAGGCATCTATTCTGTTCCAACGCAAGAATGTTGTTTTCATCGAGAAAAGAGTAAATACTGTTCGTCAGGACAGATGTGATCCATTTATGTGTGTTGGGAAAACATGTTATTGGTCTATAATTTATATTTTTGGTAGGAGGTATGTAACACCGTCAGTGATCCATTCTGGGCCTCCTTTGGGATTATTAATAAGTATTGATAGAGTTTTTGCAAGGGTTTTATGGATTGATAACAGGTAATATAGTAACAAATTGGGTACCTTGTCAATTCCTGTGGCTTTTCATTTTTGGGATGTCCTTAGAACTTGCCTAACATTAGTCTTGGTTATATTTTCCCATTCTTGTAGAGGTTTAGCCAAAATTCTTGTAGAGCTTTATCCTTCATTTGTTCTTCTTCTCGTTGTGTCCAGTCTGCTTTAGGGTTATATTTCTTTGGGTTTGCTCCAAATATTCTCCCAAACTTTCTGTACTTTTTCAACAGATGGTGGATTTTTGACATATATCCCTGTTTTTCCAATTTCCCTGTAAAATTTCTTAAGGTCCGTTTGGAATATTTTATTTTGGCGATAGAACCTTCAACCCTTTTCGTATCGTTTTGTTCTCTGTGTCTTTAACTGCAGTTTCTGTCTTAGCTTTTCTTTGATTGATGGAATTTTCTTTAAGGATTTAATTTTATATTTCCGTTTGATCTTCCAGCATTTATGTGATGGGACATTTCGGTTTCTTGGGATCCCATCTAATACGAAATCTCGCATCTGCTTTCCTTTATTTCCCCGCATTAATTTTAACCTTCCAAGATGGCTCTTATTATTATTATTATTATTATTCTTTCTTTCTTTCTTTCTTTCTTTCTTTTCTTTCTTTCTTTCTTTCTTTCTACCAGGCTTTTCCTCTTTCTTTCTTTCTTTTTTCTTACTTTCTTTCTTTCTTTCTACCAGGATTTCTTTCTTTCTACCAGAATTTTCTTTCTTTCTTTCTTTCTTTCTTTCTTTCTTTCTTTCTTTCTTTCTTTCTTTCTACCAGGCTTTCTTTCTTTCTACCAGGCTTTCTTTCTTTCTTTCTTCCTTTTCATTTCGATATTTTATTTTCTTTCTCTCTTTTTCTTTCTTTTCATTCAATATTTTGTCTTTCTTTCTCTCTTTCTGTCTTTTACTCTTTCTTTCTTTTCATTCTATATTTTTTATTATCGTTCATTCTTTCTTCCTTTCATTTTAAATCGCTTCTTCTCTCGAATATATTTTCTTTAGTCATTTCGTCCTTTTCTTTACCATTTTCCTTTCCGTTCCTCTTCTTCTTCTTCCTCCTCTTAATCTCTTTTCTTCTTCTTCTTCTTCTTCTTCTTCTTCTTCTTCTTCTTCTTCTTCTTCTTCTTCTTCCTTTGATGTCTGTTGTATACACATTTCCTTCCGGGCTCCAACCAGAGACCCAAGGTCAGAAATGGAATCATAAAATTTTCCATTGAGCAGTTTTTACATAAATACAAAATTTAGTAAGGAGTGGACTGTAATTGTGAGAACAATTTTTTGTATTTCTTCTTCTTATTATTATTATTATTATTACTATTATTTGTGTATGTTATATTTCCTGCTTTGTATCCTTTAGAGCCGGCTCCAAACTATGGTCCTTAGGCCCTATAAAAGAATTGTCATTTAATTGATAGCACTTTTCTTAGTATATGGGATATTCCGAGTAGAGCGATCTTCTGGGCAACTTGTATGTTGATGTTGCCTGGGACACTGTTAGTAAAATTGTCCATTCCTTTTCTCACGAGGCCCAGGAGCTCCGATTACTATTGGTACAGTCTGAATCTTCATTCCCCACATCATGTTAAACTCGAACTCCAGGTCCTTGTATTTGGACAATTTCTCGATAATTTCCGTGGAGGTGTTTATCTCAGATGGTACTGCTATGACAATAAGCATTATTATTATTATTATTATTATTATTATTATTATTATTATTGTTGTTGTTGTTGTTGTTGTTGTATATGGAGGAAAATGAAAATGGAAAAGAAACAACATAATGGAAAGTTAAAATAAATCTTTTTAACAGGAATCAATGGTGAAGGAAAAAAAAACAAACTTTATTCTTAAATAAAAAGAATTACTACTGCATTTTTTGTACATGCCTGAGAAATCAAGGAAGCTATGAAGATGGTGATGGTTTTAATGTTTTGGGACCTCGGATTAAAGGTCATTTCCATTACCCAACAAGGAAAATAATGCTTGCAAAAGATTCCAAAAATGAAATTTTGCAATATGACGTACGGTAAAAAAAAAAAAAGTACTGTACACGCCCACCCGAGAGAGCTAATTAGAATTGTTTGTCATCAGATGCATAACCACTAAATTGTCTGGGAGTTTAAAGAGTAGCCCACTCATATTGTTATCTATCTATTTCAGGTTGTTCTATATATATATATATATATATATATATATATATATATATATATATATATATATATATATATATATATATATATGTGTGTGTGTGTGTGTTTGTGTATGTAAAGAAAACAATTGTACCTCAGGTATTTATACATGGTCTTGAAAAGAATGCATTCCGTCATTTACAAAGCTATATATATGTGTGTGTATGTGTGTTCGTGTTTGAAAATGTGTTGCGTCATTTTGAAAGCTATATATATATATATATATATAAGTGTAAATGGATATAAATGATAGATTGAATTTTGAAATTAAATCGAAAATCCATAAATGAAGTTAAATTTAATTACATTTATGGATTTTTTTGTTTTTTTTTACACACATATATATATATATATATATATATATATATATATATATATATATATATATATATAATTATTTATTCGAAAATTATAACACAAATATGTTATAAAATCATTACAAAATAGCCATTTTGTTTCAATATTTCTGATGTCTTATCGAGTGATGGTGTTGAATGTCAATATATATATATATATATGTGTGTGTGTGTGTATATATATATATATATGTATATGAGAATTGGACAAATTCTTAGTTCTTGTCGACGCGTTTCGTCAGTGGAAGCAGAATGTTTTGTAGTCATACTTACATCGAACTTAAATTTTTTTCCAATTATTTTTTTATACAGATTTGTCTTTATTTTCATATTTTTCTGAGAAATTTAACTATATATATATATATATATATATATATATATATATATATATATATATATATATATATATATATAGAGAGAGAGAGAGAGAGAGAGAGAGAGAGAGAGAGAGAGAAAGAACAGTAAGATATATAATCCGGTGTTCTTATTGATATTATTATTTTTACAAAACAGTGCTCATTGTAAATTTACAGAGCATAAATATTATAAATTAACTGTTTTAAAATATTTAAAATCAGTATATATATATATATTATTTTGAATTTATTTATAGGTAACGTTTATAAATTTAATATGTTTCAGTTTTATTAAAGCTCAACAGAGAACCATCGCCTGATCCAGTGTGCTGTAACCACTCGGCCATGGAGAGCTACAGAATCAGGCATGGTCCGATTTTGCCTTTAAAGCCCACTCAATCGCTTTTGTAGACGGTGGTTCCTCCTGCAAAGATGATACAGGTTAGAATCCTACCGGAGGTCATATTTTCTTTAGGTCTTTTTCGTGTACGTAGACCGGAAGACGAAATAAATACTGTTTAAAATGAACGGGGCGTCTACTCAAATGCAGGCATCCACTAAAAACAATAAATGTATATGCATATAAACTAATACATACACACGATATTTTTTATTTATATATATATATATATATATATATATATATATATATATATATATATATCGTTTTATATGCTTCTGTGTGCTTTTTTATAAACTTCTATATTTGTCAATTCTTTTTTCTGTCTCTCTTTCTCTCTCTCTCTATCTCTCTTTCACACACACACACACACACACACACACACACACACACATATATATATATATATTTATATATATATATATATATATATATCCTGAAACAGATTTTCTTCATTTGACTCCCAGCGCGTATATATATATCTTTAGACAGTCGGAATTCCAAAAATATTTCTTGGTCATAAATTTTTTTTTGTTTATCTAATTCAAATTTGCTTCTTCACATACGCACACATACGCGCACTTACATGCACTCACACACACACACACACACCCACAGACACCCACCCACAGACACAAAAACACCACCCACCCCCACCCTTAATTTCGTTAATGTTCCCGCTCCCAGTTCGTTGCTTTAGTGTTTAAGACTAATCACTTCCATTTGTGCAAATTATTGACGGGGAGGTGAGACTTCGTTTTTTGTTGTATTTTTTTTAAAAAGAAAATATTTCAGGGCGAAAACATAATCGTTTGGACAATATGTGTTCGTGCTTTTTATAAAAATTTATAAGTTATTTATATAGAAGACGTAGTCTGGGCATTTCGAGGTGGTGTAAATGGTTAGCAAACTTGTCTCGCTAGAAAAATTACGACTGACTAGTGAGTTCGATCCTCACTGGGTGCCCCATACTTTCGGCCTTGTGCCACATCTAGGCTACGCTTGGAAAATCTCTATATGACCACCTCGAGTTGGTGTAATGATTAGCAAGCTTGTCTCTCTAGAACAATTACGACTGACTAGTGAGTTCGATCCTCACTAGGTGCCCCATACTTTCGGCCTTGTGCCACATCTAGGCTACGCTTGAAAAATCTCTATATGGCCGCCTCGAGTTGGTGTAATGGTTAGCAAGCTATATATATATTTTTTTTTTTTAAGGTCTTCTTGGTTGGGCCGAAAACGTTTCAGCACAGTCTAATAAGTACTAATTCATATTTATACTAAATCATATGGGATCAGTTTATTATTTACTAACAATAGAAACCAGGTTCCCCACTTTATGACCAGTATAATCATGTATCTACCACCAGGAAGTACTAGAAATTTCTTATTCCGACCCACTTCCTAAATTCTTACAAGATGGTCTAATATTGTTTTTGGAATGTGATATGTCCCGGAAAGGGATATATTTGTTCGAAGTAGCAAAATGGTTGTTGACTACTGAAACCGGGTAGAACAATCTAGCAGGTAACTGTAATGGACTGGTCCTCTTCGTAGTGGTAGGCAATAAGCGTAGTCAATTTGCGTAGCTCGTGTACCTCCACATCAGTCTGTATTTATGACTGACACCAGCCAATCATATTACTATGAGGGGGAACCCAGGTGTATGCTTATACATTCCATTAGAATGGTTTCTGGGTAAGTATACTTTCGTATTTTTTTTTTATATATATACGTTTATCTTCTATTGGGAACATAAGATCAACAGAAAAAGGGTTGAATGTTTTTTGGGCCAGAAATAACGTCTTCTCGCCAATCTCAAACGGAGAAAAATGGTGCAGTTTGGAGACGTTACAAGGCAAGACAGCCTGCGGAAGACCATCATGCAAGTCACCGTTGAAGGTGGACGTAGGAGAGGACCCCAACGTAAAAACTGCTTGGACAATGATCAACAACGGACAGGTATGAATATACCAGAATTGCTGATGGCTGCCGTTGATAGACCGTTGTGGAGGAGATTCAATATGGCTTCTGCATTCGGAAACTCCCCCCTACAATTACAAAAGTCAAGGGGATGATGATGATGATGATGATGGTAGTGATACTATCGTATTTGGTAATTATTGGGGTTATTAAGTTTTGACTTAATAACAATAGAAAGCGGGCCCCTGACTTTATAACCAGTATGAATATATATAACCATAAGAAGAGTGGGCACCTTGAGGCGATGTAATGGTTAACAAGCTTGTCTCGCTAGAAGAATTACGACTGTATAGTGAGTTCGATCCTCACTGGGTGCCCTTTACTTTCGGCCTTGTGCCACATCTAATCACTAGGCATCTCGAGGTGGTGTAATGTTTAACAAGCTTGTCCCGCTAGAACAATTACGACTGAGTAGTGAGTTCGATCCTCACTGGGTGCCCCCTATTTTCGGCCTTGTGCCACATTTAAGCTACGCTTGGAAAATCACTAGGCATCTCGAGGTGGTGTAATGGTTAGCAAGCTTGTCTCGCTAGAACAATTACAACTGAGTAGTGAGGTCGATCCTCACTGGGTACCCCCTACTTTCGGCCTTGTGCCACATCTAAAATACGCTTGAAAAATCACTTTGAAGAAGAGTTGTTGAAAAGTTCTTAGTCCAAACTAATTCCTAAAATCTTGTCAAATAACCAAACTCCACAATTGTTTCGGGAAGACATTTTTGTTGTGGTGGATAAGATAGAAACTTTTCTCTGTCGGCCGGCGAACTCGTAAAGTAGCAAGCATGTCTTACGCACCAATTTGTGTGTCTCACTATTTAAGCCTTGTGTCAGACTATGCTCCACTTCCTAAAGATCTTTACACATCGAGGCCTATGCTGTCTGTCTGTCTGTCTGTCTGTCTCTCTCTCTCTCTCTCTCTCTCTCTCGCTCGCACTGATTTTTATACCCAGTTATATTTTCCGATTTCTTTTTGAATTTGTAGGTCTGATGAATTGGATCGTGATTACAATTCCAATGTAATAAATTATAACCATGGAATATTAGTGTTTGAGCCTTTTAGTTTTATATTAAATTCTTACTCTGTCCTGACATTGAGTTCTACCTGGATTCTATCCTCTTGAAATTTATATATATATATATATATATATATATATATATATATATATATATATATATATATATAGGAGCGGCCATGTTTGCACTATAACAACAGCGAGAAAATTGGCGCGATCAAGCTCAAACTTCGATCACGTGACCACAATATTACCAACTATAAGCACGCAGGAGTAGAAGGTATGGCGGAAGAGTGGATATTTTTGACTTATATATATATATATATATATATATATATATATATATATACCTTTTCTTTCTTTATCTCTCTCTGTCTCTGTCTCTCTTTCTTTCTTTCTCTCTCTCTCTACACCCGCGTACACACCTATTTATTGTCGTTAAAGCGTTCACTCATTTTTGAAGTGTGGTGTAAGGTCACTTAATGTCTGACTTGTTTGCTAATGTCAGCCATTCCCGCAACCACGATTGAACGAAAGTGATTTTTCCCCCTTTCCTGTTCGTCTTCTTCTTTGTCTCTTATTTATTTATATTTTCTTTCCTCTTCTTTCAAGTTTTCGCTATTTTTTTTTGTTTTGTTTTTCGTTGGTTTTATTTTTATCATGACACCACTTGGACATGTCGTATTTTTAAGATGGCTTGTGAAAATCATTTTTCGTTATATATATAGACTTTTCGACGAGTATCAAATAAAACCCATCCTCTTTTTGATTGGTTTAAAATAAGACGTCCGCTCTCTGATTGGTTTAAAACTGGAGGAGTCCGCTCTTTATCTGAATTAAAATTCGGCGTCAAATTTGACAAATTTACAATCAGACGTGCTAAAAATAAACCTGACTCAGTTTTCATATCGTGTACTAAAAATAAAACGTGACTTTTTTATTGGTTCAAATAAAAGTACATCTGTATTTTGATTTGTTTAGAATAGGGGTCGGCTACCCTCGGCTCTCGGGCCACATCCGGCCCTCGAAGGTTTTTTTGTCCAGCCCGCCAACTTTAACACCTGGACACAAATTATTTAATTAATTTATGGAGCAAGTGGCAGAGATATATCAATTGGAGTTAATCAATTTACAATGCGACGAATTTTTAAAATCAAAATCTAATTGTGCATCCACTGCTGACTTCTTCAAAATTAGATCTTCGAAGGTCATATGATATGAGAGTATATACAATGAATGTATTATTAATGATTTTACTGTAAAAATACATTGAAAATGAGGAAAAAATTACCAGTGGTCAGGAATGAATGCAAACATTACTGATTGAATAGGGCTATGATACGTAAAATGTAAATATATTGATAATGTCACCAAATCCTGAAAATGGCCTAGAGGATGAAAGCATTGGTTTGTGAATTTGATGACATTTTGTTGTGAGTTCAATTCCTGAATCAGGCAGTGTGTACTTGAACTCAATAGAATCAGGTGTTTAATAACTGAACAGTACTAAATAAAATAAGAACCAGATTAGTCCATCCTGCCAACTTTAATACCTGGACATAAATTATTTAATTAATTTGTGGTACAAGTGGCAGAGACATATCAGTTGAAGTTAACTAACAATGCGACGAATTTTAAAAATCAAAATGTAATTGCGAATCCACTGCTGACTTCGACAAGAAATGTTTTGCCAAGCAGAAAATATAAAAGCCTATTGAATGGTATCATTATTTGGAAGTACATATACTTCTGAACAACTTTTTCGAAAATGAAATATACTAAAATCGTTTTTCAAACAAAGTTGGGTGATGACCACATGGATGATGTTTGGCTCCTGTTGGATGACAAATATTTCACCTGATGTGAAGAACACTATTTACATTATTCTGACTATTGTCCTCATCTTTGTCGCCATATTTATCACAGCGTTTCGGCCGTTGTACTCTCCGGCCTTCTTCGGGAGGTTGGAATGTCGAACTGAACGCTTTATTTCGCTCACTGGGGTAGACTATTCTACTTCCACGTGCCGTCTCTAATAGATGTCAGTTATCTCCTGTTAATTCCCCTCTGAAAGTTCTCCACTGCCTTAAGCGGGTATTGAACTCACACTCTTTGGGTCCTATTAACTGGATTTAACTAACGCCTTTATCCACTGTGCCATGTGTCCTTGAGTGTGAGTTCAATCCCTGATTAAGGCAGTGGAGAACTTTCAGAGGGGAATTAACAGGAGATAACTGACATCCATTAGACATGGCACGTGGAACTAGAACAGTCTACCCGAGTGAGCGAAATAAAGGGTTCAGTTCGACATTCCAACCATCTGTACAGTGGCAGAAACGTTGTGATAAACTGCTCTTTATCGATATTTTGCCCGGTTACATTGAGAATCACTCATCTTGAAGAATTACTCGCTTACGAACTAGTAAACGGCTAAATATCTCTATCCCATTGGCTCTCGTGGTTAAAAAAATAATATTTTCTCGAGAGGCTTCTCGTCAGCTGAACTGGGGCAATTCGATTAGCCGTCAGGATTTTAAAAAAAAAAACGAGAGAGAGAGATATCTTATCAAACGGCCCGAGAAGATCATGGACTTCAATACCTTCCTCGGCATCTGATTCCCTGTCAAATTAAGGTCACCCAGAAGAGAGATAATTATGGTTGTATACATGCCGAAACTCTACTAGGGGCTTAAACAAAGAACCTTTAATTTTCTAAATACACATGATCCATCTAGTTCTTCAGTGCCAAACATGTTTTTTATGGCAATTCACACCAAGTAAGGCGGGAGTGCCACTAGCACTCAAGAGGTTACGTAGGATTGAGAACAAGAGTAAAGAAGCGTGTTTCAGGGAACGATACAGAAAAGGACGGGGAACAAGGTCAGGGTGTCAGATGTCGATTGACATTACACTTGAATATTTGAAGATTACATTCATCGGGGAAGGAAGTTCCACAGACGGGAAGTGCGAGAAAAGAAGCTGTTTGAGTAGAAGAGACGGTAACATGTAATCGTTTTGACAGTGAAAGGGTGGGACCGACGTGCCAGCCTGGTAGCTTGTTTAAATTCATGGAGTCCGGGAACAGTTGCTGTGAAAAAAAAAAAAACTTTTAGAAAAGACAGAGGGAGGCCACGGCACGTCTGTGGGGAAAGCGATTGTAGACTAGATGCCAGATCAGGACCTATCATCTTGCATATTTGTCTCTCGAGACGTACAGCGGGAGCACCAGACCATAAAACATTATAATAATGACATTTTATCATTTTTTGTTTAGATAAAAAAATCACGTGCCTCTTCATAAACGATGACCTAGGTCAAGCGAAAAAAAGAATTTTTGTTGTTTAGCGTTAAGCAAAAGACAGCGATGATTATTATTATTATTGTTGTTGAAAATCACCTCGTTCAGCAGACATTATCTATATAGATATATACGTACATAAATATATTTCGTAAATATAAAATCTATCCCCTATATATATATATATATATATATATATATATATATATATCCGAATATCTCGGTATATTCATTATCTATCTATCTATCTATCTATCTATCTATCTATCTATCTATCTATCTATCTATAATTATCTCAATTTGTTCGTATCTATGTCAGTCTGTTCATTATATCTATCTATCTATCTATCTATCTATCTATCTATCTATCTATCTATACCAGTCTGTTTGTATCTATCTGACACTGTTCGTATCTATCTATCTATCTATCTATCTATCTATCTATCTATCTATCCCAGTCTGTTTCTATCTATCTATCCCAGTCTGTTTCTTTCTATCTATCTATCTATCTATCTATCTATCTATCTATCTATCTCAGTCTTCATATGTATTAATGTGTCCGAAGACAAAGACCTAATTGAGAGATAAAGAAAAGAGTTTTTATACCCGAGGGCAGATACTACACTTTGATCCCATTCTGATGGCCAGAGAGTGAACAGGAATCGTCACTCTAGTAGCACTGTTTGCCCTGTCAATGAATGCCAAACGTTTCATTATAAGAACGAGGATAATATTGCCATTAGAGATGAGCAGAACAGATACTGCACTTTGATCCCATCCCGATAGCCAGGGAGTAAAATTAAAAGAATAACACTTGTGATACTGGCTGGTAGGTCAATGAAGGCCAAATATTTCCTTAGGAAAAACAACTGATATTAATGTGACTATATTATATATATATATATATATATATATATATATATATATATATATATATATATATATATATATATATATATATATATATATATATAAAGTAATGTGGCTTTTTTATATATATTTGTCTGTCAGGCCACCTGCTTTTCCTTGGAAATCGACATCCTATTTTAAAAATCTAATTAAATTTTTAATGCTTTCTGACGCAATACATCTGTTGGATGATGGTCTCTCTTCATGTCTCCCACCCACAAAATTAGGTGATGGGATAGGGGTATGCTCAACTCTAGTCAGCTGATGTTTTATAAATTGTGAATATTTAAATTAAAATCTTTTTATGTTTTCAAAAAACTATTATTAAGCGAATATCTTCTTTTATTTGGTCTGTATTTAAATCTTTTGTAAAGTAGTTTTAAGTTATTAAAAATGTTTATTTTTAATACGAACATGATTCAAACGTGGTCAACTACCATTAAGTAAAAAAACAGCGGCTGTCGAATCCTCACATGTTGAGAAACTGCTTTTTTCTCTAAGAGTGATTCAAACCACAAGAATCGATAAAATAAATTGGATATATCCTTCAATAATCTACACGTAAAAGTGAGCTCAGGCCCGCATACACAGAGCTTTAGAATTCTGGACATGAGGCCCGGCTTCTGATCTCACCATGTTCAATGTTCCGACCATGAAGCCCGGCTTCTGATCTCACCATGTTCGATGTTCCGAACATGAGGCCCAACTTCTGATCTCACCATGTTCAATGTTCCGACCATGAAGCCCGGCTTCTGATCTCACCATGTTCGATGTTCCGACCATGAGGCCCAACTTCTGATCTCACCATGTTTAATGTTCGACCATGAAGCCCGGTTTCTGATCTCACCATGTTTGATGTTCCGACCATGAGGCCCGGCTTCTGATCTCAACATGTTCAATGTTCCGAACATGAGGCCCGGCTTCTGATGTAACCATGTTCGATGTTCCGACCATGAAGCCCGGCTTCGCATCTCACCATGTTCGATGTCCGACCATGAGGCTCGGCTTCTGATCTCACCATGTTCGATGTTCCGAAGATAAGACCCGGCTTCTGATCTCACCATGTTTGATGTTCTCACCATGAAGCCCGGCTTCTGATCTCACTATGTTCGATGTTCCGAACATGAGGCCCGGCTTCCGATTTCACCATGTTCGACGTTCCTACCATGAGGCCCAACTTCTGATCCCACCATGTTCGATGTTCCAAACATAAAGCCCGGTTTCTGATCTCTCCATGTTCGATATTCCGAACATGAGGCCCAACATCTGATCTCACCATGCTCGAATTCCGAACATGAGGCCCGGCTTCGGATCTCACCATGTTTGATGTTCCGACCATGGGACCCGACTTCTCAACTCACCATGTTCGATGTTCCGACCATGAAGCCTGGCTTCTGATTTCACCATGTTTGATGTTCCAACCATGGGACTCGGTTTCTGATCTCACCTCGTTTGATGTTCCGAACATGAAGCCCAACTACTGATTTCACCATGTTTGATGTTCCGACCATGAGGCTCGGCTTCGCATTTCACCATGTTTGATGTTCCGACAATGAGGCCCAACTTTTGATCTCACCATGTTCGATGTTCCGAACATGAGGCCTTGTTTCTGATCTCACCATGTTCGATGTTCCGACTATGAGGCTCGGCTGCGCATATCACTATGTTTGATGTTCCGACCATGGGACTCGGTTTCTGATCTCACCATGTTTGATGTTCCGAATATGAGGCTCAAATTCTGATTTCACCATGTTTGATCTTCCGACCATGAGGCTCGGCTTCTGATCTCACCATGTCCGATGTTCCGACCATGAGGTTCGGCTTCGCATCTCACCATGTTTGATGTTCCGACCACGAGACCCGGCTTCTGATCTCACCATGTTTGATGTTCTGACGATGGGACACGGCTTCTGATTTCACCATGTTCGATGTTCCGACCATGATGCCCGGCTTCTGATTTCATCATGTTTGATGTTCCGACCATGAGGCCCGGCTTCTGATCTCACCATGTTTGATGATCCGAACATGAGGCCCGGCTTCTGCCCTCACCATGTTTGATAATCCGAACATAAGGCCCGGCTTCTGATCTCCCCATGTTCGATGTTCCGACCATGAGGCCCGGCTTCGCATGTCACCATGTTTGATGTTCCGACCATGGGATTCGGTTTCTGATCTCACCACGTTTGATGTTCCGAACATGAGGCCCAAATTCTGATTTCACCATGTTCGATGTTCCGACCATGAAGCCCGGCTTCTGATCTCACCATGTTTGATTTTCCGACTATGAGGCCCGGCTTCTGATCTCACCATGTTCGATGTTCCGACCATGATGCCCGGCTTCTGATCTCACCATGTTCGATGTTCCGAACATGAGGCTCGGCTGCTGATCTCACCATGTTCGATGTTCCGACCATGGGACTCGGCTTCTGATCTCACCATGTTTGATGTTCCGAACATGAGGCCCAACTTGTGATTTCACCATGTTCGATGTTCCGACCATGAAGCCTGGCTTCTGATCTCACCATGTTTGATGTTCCGACCATGAGGCCCGGCTTCTGATCTCACCATGTTCGATGGTCCGAACATGGGACCCGGCTTCTGATATCGCCATGTTTGATCTTCCGACCATGAGGCTCAGCTTCTGATCTCACCATGTCCGATGTTCCGACCATGAGGCTCGGCTTCGCATCTCACCATGTTTGATGTTCCGACCATAGGATTCGGTTTCTGATCTCACCACGTTTGATGTTCCGAACATGAGGCCCAAATTCTGATTTCACCATGTTCGATGTTCCGACCATGAAGCCCGGCTTCTGATCTCACCATGTTCGATGTTCCGACCATGAGACCCAGCTTCTGATTTCACCATGTTCGATGTTCCGACCATGAGGCCCGGCTTCTAATCTCACCATGTTCGATGTTCCGACCATGGGACTCGGTTTCTGATCTCACCTCGTTTGATGTTCCGAACATGAGGCCCAACATCTGATTTCACCATGTTCGATGTTCCGACCATGAGGCTCGGTTTCGCATCTCACCATGTTTGATGTCCGACCATGAGGCTCGGCATCTGATCTCACCATGTTCGATGTTCCGGCCATGAAGCCTGGCTTCTGATCTCACCATGTTTGATCTTCCGACCATGAGGCTCGGCTTCTGATCTCACCATGTCCGATGTTCCGACCATGAGGCTCGGTTTCGCATCTCACCATGTTTGATGGTCCGACCATGGGATTCGGTTTCTGATCTCACCACGTTCGATGTTCCGAGCATGAGGCCCAAATTCTGATTTCACCATCTTCGATGTTCCGACCATGAAGCTCGGCTTCTGATCTCACCATGTTCGATGTTCCGACCATGAGACCCGGCTTCTGATTTCACCATGTTCGATGTTCCGACCATGAAGCCCGGCTTCGCATCTCACCATGTTCGATGTCCGACCATGAGGCCCGGCTTCTGATCTCACCATGTTTGATGTTCCGAACATGAGGCCCGGCTTCTGATCTCACCATGTTTGATGATCCGAACATGAGGCCCGGCTTCTGATCTCACCATGTTCGATGTTCCGTCCATGAGGCTCGGCTTCGCATCTCACCATGTTTGATGTTCCGACCATGTGATTCGGTTTCTGATCTCACCACGTTTGATGTTCCGAACATGAGGCCCAAATTCTGATTTCACCATGTTCGATGTTCCGACCATGAAGCCCGGCTTCGCATCTCACCATTTTCGATGTCCGAACATGAGGCTCGGCTTCTGATTTCACCATGTTCGATGTTCCGACCATGACGCCCAACTTCTGATTTCACCATGTTCGGTGTTCCGAACATGAAGCCCGGCTTCGCATCTCACCATGTTTGATGTTCCGACCATGAGGCTCGGCTTCGCATCTCACCATGTTTGATCTTGCGACCATGGGACTAGGCTTCTGATTTCACCATGTTTGATGTTCCGACCATGAGGCTCGGCTACTTATCTCCCCATGTTTGTTCTTCCGAACATGAGGCCCGGCTTCGCATCTCACAATGTTTGATGTTCCGAACATGAGTCCCGGCTTCTGATCTCATCATGTTCGATGTTCCGAACACGAGGCCCGGCTTCTGATCTCACCATGTTTGATGTTCCGAACATGAGGCCCGGCGTCTGACCTCATCATGCTCCGTGTTTCGAACATGAGGTACGTCTTCTGATCTCACCATGTTCGATGTTCCGACCATGAGGTCCGGTGTCTGATCTCACCATGTTCAATGTCCTGAAGATGAGGCTCGGCTTCGCATCTCACCATGTTTGGTATTCCAACCATGAGGCCCGGCTTCTGATCTCACCATGTTCGATTTCTCGGACATGAGGCTCGTCTTCGCATCTCACCATGTTTGATATTTCGACCATGAGGCCCGGCTTCTGATCTCACACTGTTCGATTTCTCGGACATGAGCCGACCATCAGGCCTAGCTTCTGATCTCTACATGTTTGATATTCCGACATGAGGTCCGGAATCTGATCTCATCGTGCTCCGTGTTTCAAACATGAGGTCCGGCTTCTGATCTCACCATGTTCGATGTTCCGACCATGAGGTCCGGTGTCTGATCTCACCATGTTCGATGTCCTGAACATGAGGTCCGGCTTCTGATCTCGCCATGTTCAATATTCCGACCATGAGGCCCGGCTTCTGATCTCACCATGTTCGATTTCTCGGATATGAGGCTCGGCTTCACATCTCACCATGTTTGTAGGGTCCGGCGTCTTATCTCATCGTGCTCGATGTTCCGAAATTCACAATTGGCTTAACTTTTCGAAAGCCACTGATGCTTGCACTAACTCAACCAATTCAGCAATTTCATTAAGTGCTCAGTAGAATTGTATATGCCTATTATGTATTTTTAAGCTAGTGCAAAACAGACCCATGACTAAATTTTATGACTTTCGTGCTAATCAAACACATCAAATCTCTTTTGAATTTTAAAAAATTATTACAAAGGCAATTATTGAGATATGTTAAACAAATTTTTCTATGAACTCTGTTAATATCAAAGTTTTTAATCCAGTTGCATTTGTGTATTCCAGGGTACCCTGTTGATGAAAGAGATACTGTTAAATGAACCCCTAATATTTCCAAAACGCTGAATTGGAAGGGATGGCCCAATTACCTGACCACCACGTTCACCAGATATCACTCCCCTGGTCTTCTTTCTATGGGGTTATGTTAAAGATATTGTTTATCAGACAAAAATACAAGATATCACTGATCAAAAGATCACGGACGCCATTGCCACCATTCGTTTCACGACGGAAGACGGAAGTTGATTTCTTGCCACGTTCACTGTAGCATATGAGGCTATGCTACAATGGACGTGGCAAGAAATCGACTTCCGTCTTGATATGCTTCTTGAAACGAATGGTACCCATTTAGATTTGTATTAAATTAGTTGCAAAAAATTTGAATATCTACTTTTTGTTTTCTTACAATCTCCATTTATTTGTCTGTTCATTTGCTTTTATAATAATTTTTTTTTTGTTTTTAAATTGAAAAGAGACTTTATGGACACCCTGTATTTAAAACGTTTCTATTAAATGTTAGAAATCTTTTCAGTTTATCATTGTAACGACTTTTTCTTCAGAGTTTAAAAACTGTGTATTGAAAAAACTCCGGTAAAGAAACGTTAATACCACACAAAAATAAATAGATTTCAATATCCAATCTAACTGGTTTTCACCTGTTCCGTATTTACTTTAGGGTTCTTATATTAGATCATTGAAGAATGGAATTTGAGAAGGGGTCAGGCCGAGAACTTTTCTGCACCCCCTCCGTAATTGATGGGCTTGATTCTTTACTATCAGTTATGGTAGGCGTCCTGTTATTTTGCATTTTTCTTTTTTTTTTTTTTTTTTTTTTTTTTGACTGTGTTTCGTTTAGTTAGCGCAAGTCATTATTAGTACTGAGCACCAAGTAAAGAGTTCACTGTGTTTGCTCTTGTGAATTGGTCAATGACAAGAATCTGAACGGCATCATGACAGGGTAAGTGCCCTTTTATACTTATCTACTTCCCCTAATTAGGTTGGCACAAGGCCACAATATTAGGGCATCAAGTAGACATCGAGCCATGGCGAAAGCGTCTACTTGAACGATTCTCATTAACCTGCTCAAGAAGAGTGTAAGAAATCGGTAAAATTATTTTGAAAGTCAACTCCCCAACCCATCATGTATATATATATATATATATATATATAGTACAGGTAATCGATCCGTTTGTATATAATTCGGGTGGATCCTAGTAATATTAATTATTTAAACTGATCCACAGAGAGCTCGATGTATTTATTATAACATAGTATATGTATATTTACAAGATATATTTATATATATATATATATATATATATATATATATATATATATGTGTGTATGTATGTATGTATTTATGTATATATATATATATATATATATATTGTTTTGAACAATAAGAAATATTAAAAAATTAAAATCTTCAGGCTGGGTTGTATATTAATATTCTTTCGTTTTTATTATTATTTCAATTAGATACCTCGTCTAGTTTCGGCTAACATGGCCATCATCAGAGAAAAAATTTTGCTTGTTAGTATCAGTGATATATATATATATATATATATATATATATATATATATATATATATATATATATATATATATATATATATATATATATGTGTGTGTGTGTGACATCCAATCAAAATGATTACAGGTGAACGCGCACGCGTTAACTGGGTGTGGGGTGGGTGGGGGTGTTCCATTTTTTACTGAGTCAAACAAGAATCAGTGTGCCCCACCCCTTCCACATCTCCCCCCCATCCCTACTTCCTAAAAAAAAAAAAAAGAAAGAAGAAAAAGGAAAAGAAACCAGGAAATTCTAAAAATGAAATTGATGTATTTCAAATCGGTCGTTTTATTTAAGAAAACCAAAATTAGGTGAGAAAAGCGTAAACAGTGAGTCATTTTGATTCGCCATCTTTTCTCAGTCTTAGCTTTGTCCGTTTTCTCGGTCGCTTGGTCTCTCTCCTTCCTTCTCATACACTCTAACTCTCTCATTCCATCTCTCTCTCTCTCACCCCTCTCTCTCTATCTATCTATATCAGTCTATCTGTCTGATCATTATCTATCTATCTATCTATAATTATCTCAATTTGTTCGTATCTATGTTAGTCTGTTCATTATATCTATCTATCTATCTATCTATCTATCTGTCTGATCATTATCTATCTATCTATCTGTAATTATCACAATTTGTTCGTATCTATGTTAGTCTGTTCTATCCCCCCCTCTCTCTCTCTCTCTCTCTATCTATCTATCTATCTATCTATCTATCTATCTATCTATCTATCCAAGTCTGTTCGTATCTATCTATCTATCTATCTATCTATCTATCTATCTATCTATCTATCAGTCTGATCATTATCTATCTATCTATCTATAATTATCTCACTTTGTTCGTATCTATGTTAGTCTGTTCATTATCTTTTGTCTCTCTCTCTCTCTCTGTCTATCTATCTATCTATCTATCTATCTATCTATCTATCTATGTGGGTGTGCGCTTGCATGCATCTGTTTGCACCCTTCATAGTTATGTAGAGTTTCCGTTTATCGCTGAGAACTGTCTTTACCTCTACTCCTCACCTTTTGTCCGTCTTCTCATCTTCATTTCCTACCAGCACTTTCATATCACAAACCTCATTCGCTATTATCCTTTTGTTACCTTTAAGCCTCTACCCTGAATCGCTCTCAAGCCTTTTATTCGGTTACAATTTACCATACATGGAAAAAAAACTTACCACTTATCTTGGTAAATGAATTTAAATCTATTAATATATTCACTAATATTTTAACGTTTACATGATGCCATCTTGTTTTTTTTTAAGTAGATTGACCAGTAGAAATTGCTATATAAAGCAAACTTTATACCGGGAACTGCTACTTTGTCTAGTTCTCTGAAGAATTTAACGTTGACCTCTTCACCTCATCGGTCAAAGTTTATCTTCCCTCCCTGCTGTTACAAATAGACTTCATTTCGTAATATTTTCTGTTCCATTCGTATCATGCACCTCGATCAGCATTGCTGTTTCATTGACTATAGATTTCTATATTGAGTGGCTCACGAACCTTGTTTTGGATGAAATTTTGTATTAAAAAGGATTAACCTGATTTTATATATATATATATATATATATATATATATATATATATATATATATATAGTTACCCACAGACCGGTTTGCAGCTCATCAATGGCAGGGATGAAGGTAAATTTAAGCGTTTCTATTTTTAGATAAACACGCTTGTAACTGAGAGAACTCGATTAGTTTTATCGGAGAGTATTGCATTAGTAGCAGTAGTAATCACTGTTTACAAACTCACACTTTCTTCTCCGAGAGCTCAACCGAAATGATTTTTCAGGAGCATATATATTGTCACCCATGGACAATGAGAACTGATCCAAATATAATTGAAAATACCAGAATTTCTGTCTTTTTGTCTGTTTTCTTTCAGTCTCTGACGAAGCTTTAATAAAAGTGAAAAATATTAGATTGATATACTTATATATACTTATGATATATGTTTATGATATACTTATATACGTATGAGGATCCGACAACTTCATTCAGTTTTTATGTTTTTGTCGTATGACACTTCAGTCCCGCTAGTGACCTGCATATGAGTCCACATATAGTGTAACAGCAAAGATCTCAGGACACTTTTCGCCGTTGTTTTTCATCTCTTAGCCTATCAATAAGAATGATTTTGTAAGTTCTGATACAACTTATTTTAGATGATCTTCGCCCTCTCTAACCTTTTAATTTTCTCTCCTAGAGTAACAAGATGCCTCACAGTTTTCATGTATGATTTAATTTTCAAGCCTTTTTTCACTGGCTTTGGACTCTTACAGCTGAAAATCCTCTCTCGCGTACCAAACGTTTTATATATTGAGTTGAATCTTTTCTAATTGATCTATTTAGCTCTAAGTTGAAATGATGATTGCTCTTCCAGGTTTGACCTCCAGATCCAGATTTCCTCCCCACTGTTACCACTTTTTAAAAATGTTTCATCCTTCTCTTGATGGTTCTCGAATGCATTCTGAAGATCGAAGCCAAAATATGAATGTTGCTTCCATTACTGAAGGCCTGAATGCTCTTTTTCCTCTAACCATTTCTCAGCTGGGAAGACAGTGGTTAGACCCGGTATATATGATGGATCCGACAACTTCATTGAGTTTTTTATGTTTCAGCCCCGCTAGTGACCTGCATATGAGTCCACATAGAATGCAACAGTGAGGGTCCCGAGACATAGCCAGAGGAATATTTGTTGACACTTTCGCTGTTGTTTCTAGTCTCTTAGCCTATCAATACGAATGATTCCGTAATTTCTGATACAATTGTGGCACAAATATCTTGAGTTATTTCTATCCAAAGAAACTCGTTTGAAGTTAGTATGAGGCATATTGACAGCTGAGAGGTCACTCTTTATACTTGTCCTTATACCAGACACACGGCCGTCCAACTCTCCACTTTGTGCCCTGTCAAGCTGGCAATACATGAGAACTTTAGGTATTCTGTCTGTAAATAATATAAAAAGTTTAATATAGTAAATTCTAAAAAGTATATATATATATATATATATATATGTGTATATATATATATATATATATATATATATATATATATATATATATATATATATATATATATATAAAAAGAATGAACAGTAAGATATAAAATCCGGTGTTCTTATAGATATTTTTATTTTTACAAATTCGCTTGAAGATGAAATGGAACTAATTGCAAAATTAAATTCGGGGTTTTTAGCTTCTATTTTTGTAACATGGTTGGAACTGTGTAGCGAAAAAAAACATATTTTAAATCAATTAATTTTAATATATATATATATATATAGTGATTTTTCAAGTTTAGCTTAGATGTGGCACAAGCCCGAAAGTATGGGGCATCTAGTGAGGATTGAACTCATTATCAGTCGTAATTGTTCTAGCTAGAGAATGGTTAGGAAGCCACTCTCGCTTGAACAATTACGACTAAATAGTGAGTTCGAAATAGTGAGTATATATATATATATATATATATATATATATATATATATATATATATATATATATATATATATATATATATATATATATATATATATATATAATGGATTTATTTTAATTGACATTTATATTGCTTAAAATGTTTTTATAGTGGACTCTTCATGTTTGAAGTATTTCTAATACTAAGTATGCACTATATTACCATTTGAATTAATATATACAATACAGTTAAAATGTCTGAGCACTCCTCTGGTAATCTTTTTTAAACTGACCCCAAAATTAGTTGCTTTGTACTTTAAATAAGAGAAAATTATTATGCATGGTTAAAAAAAAGTGAGACATGGTTTTTTTATTACCAATTTTACTATGACAATAAGAAAAAAAAGAAACATTTTATGATTAAATTTTGCTCTCGTCAAAATATCCTGCTTTAACCTTGATGACTGCAGCACAAATTTTTTGGCGTTTGTTGAAAAAAGTTTCTAAAAGAATAAGAATGATAATTAAATCCATTGTCTTGTCAATTATTCTAAGAACTCTTTTTCCTTTTTTTTCCATTCCTCTGTCAAGTATGTCTAATAATAATGGCGGGGGGCTTCAAACCTTGCACCTAGTGTGTGTGTAAATATATATATATATATATATATATATATATATATATATATATATATATATATATACCTGTCGTAATTTATTGGGGTTGTTGTAACGTCTTCCTTTAATGTAGTTCTTATCGTTCACCCCTTAGCCACCTTTATCTAGAGACGAGTCGCGTTAACTTTGAGCAACATCCAGCCGACACACTGGGGTTAAAATAGAAAACTAAAATGATACATATGACAAACTCATATCCTCTCTCCCACCTCACTTCCTCACTTCGTTAATTTTACGTATACTTGATGAGGTCCGTCAAAAACGTGTGAATTTCTTTTCATTTTTCATTTCAGCTTTTGGAAGTAAAGTCTGATGATCCAGAACCCTGTTAAAGGGGTTATGGTGAAATAGCTTATTACATGGAATCTTAACGTGGTCTGTCTTTTATTCAAACATATCTGCTCTGAATTTTACATTGAGCTCTCTGGATATCATCCTCCTCAGGTCTACCCATACGGATTACCTAAATTTGCATAAACTATATATATATATATATATATATATATATATATATATTATGAAAATAGACTAAGCTTGACAATTATTTTAATGTATTTTCTATTTATACGTCATTTTTATAGATACAAATATTTAAGTAAATGCGCTGTTTGTAATAAACAGTATTAAACAACATTTACCGGCCTGAATGTCCGAGAAATTGTCATAGAAAATATTTCTCCTCCGACAGGAATTGAACCTGTATCCTACATGAAACTGTCATTTGGCCAGATGTGCTATGCCATTTAGTTACAGAGGAAGCGTCTGTTTAGCAAAGTCAAATTACTGTTTTTAAACAACAAATTATCCATGATTTTTCTCTAACGATCATATCTACTCGAGGGCTATCTTAACGTAAAAAATGGCTACGTATATTATGAAAATGGACTATCCAACAATTATTTTATTATATTTTCTGTTTATACGTTATTTTTTAATACAAATATTTAAATAAATGCTCTGTTTCTAATAAACAGTATTAACTACATTTACCGGCCTGAATGTCCGAGAAATATCGTAGGTTCCATGTAGGATACAAGGTAGCTTCCTATCGGCGGACACATTTTCTACGATATTTCTCGGACATTCCTACCGGAAAATTTTGTTAATACTCTTTATTATAAAATGAGCATTTACTATATATATATATGAGTAGACTTAATGATATTCAATTAATAAAGGTATCAAGTTAAGTTGTCAGAAACCCACACATGGTTTGATTTCAGTGGTGAAGGCTTGTGTAGAACCATCCACACTTTTTGGAACTGTTGATAGCACGCAGTCGGTGCTAAAGTTTGCCACAGATAGCGTGAACAACAGACCTCAGGTGTTACATCAGAGTTTTCCTTCTCTTAGATGAATGCCTTAACAGAGGCTGAGGGCTTCATCTTACACAGTGGTCTAACTGCGCCTCCAGACACTAACCTGGAAATTTCCTTGTCCCGGCGCTATATATATATATGTAGAGAGAGAGAGAGAGAGAGAGAGAGAGAGAGAGAGAAGAGAGAGAGAGAGAGAGAGAGTGTGTGTGTGTTTATTCTCACTCCCTAAGAACCAAATAACACACACACTTAGCAGGAACCAATAAAACTGTCAAAATGACCAAGGGAATTCAGAGCAGCATGAATCCATCCAGCACTTATCTCAAATAACAACTTAAAAGAGACTGTTTGACCAACACAAGGATTGGCCAAAATTCATGATAAAAAAATAACAAATGAAAACTACAGACAAAAGTTTATTTTCTCCATCAAGTCATTCATTTCTGTAGTTCACTGCTACCAACAAGCAGAAAGTTATTTTTCTCCTGATGATGGCCATGTTGGCCGAAACTAGTCAAGGAATCTAACAGAAATAATAAAAACGAAAGGATATTAATATACAACACAGCGTAAAAGGAAGATTTCAATTTTGTAATATTTTTTATTGTTCAAATTACACACACACACACACATATATATATATATATATATATATATATATATATATATATATATATATATATATATATATATATTGTCGTCCAGTGTAGCTAGACGTCCGGTTGTTCTAGCTAGGATCGAAACCCGGCTGAATTTGTGTCAGTTAGAGATTTTACCCCTAAGCCGTAAGTGAATTTAAGCGTATTTATTTTTAGATGAACACACGGTGACTGAGAGAACTCGATTCGATTTACCGAAGAGTCATGCATTATTAGCCATAATAGTCACTGTTAACAAACCCACACTTCCTCCCCAGAGAGCTCAACCGAAATAAATTTTTCAGGAGCATATATATATATATATATATATATATATAGGTTTGAAAATAATGCGTTCGTTATTTTCAAACCCATATATAAATTTGTGGTACAGAATTATATATATATATATTGCTGCCGTAGTAAATCATTCACAGCTTGGTAGTGTCAACTCAAGACAAAGTTGTGTGCGTTAAATACACGAAAAATTCGCACAGCGATGTGGTTCTCCCCGTTTCATTATTTAAAATCCAACATGGGAAGGCAATTTACTAGCGTTAGCCACAAATATTTGAGGCAAGATACATATGAAAAGAGAAGGAAAAAAATGCAGAGGACAGGGCTGACGTGTAAAAAGTAGTTAGGTGGGTATTCCTGAATTGAGAGACCTTTGGACGCCATTTTGATTCGTACGTAATACTTTCCTGGTTGATTTGTTCTTTCCGAACTGACTGCCCTGTTTTTTTTTTTTTTTTTTTTTTAAAGTTCGTTTTTTTTTTAAACATGTTTGCTTCCTTTTTTGTTTCATTAACATTTGACATACATACAGCATAACTTTGATTTTGACAGTCTTTATTTATCTCATAGTTATCTGTCCGTCTGTCTGTCTGCTTTTCACTCCCAACTGATTTTTCGTCTTTTTGTCTCAACCCTCAACAGCCCTATTGCAATCCAAAATCTATATTTCTGTCCCCAGCCACGGTATCTTTTTGACTGTTTCTTTCAATCTCTATCGCTCAGTATTCTAACCCTGCTTGTTTAATGCTGCCTCTCTAATACCCTTCTGTCTGCCTGTTTTCTCCAATATCTCTTCGTTCTTAGTATGGCGATAAACATCCGGCAACAAGGCCGATAATCGGAACTGCTCTTGTTCGCAGGTGCCAGTGAATAAATAATCATAGATATTTTCTCTTTCTAAACCAACACTGTCAAAAGTCGTTTTATACTACGTTTAATAGGTTGGCAATTTTAAACAAGCCTAAGAGATTGATTTTATTACACTTTTTACTCCATCTTTCTATGGACTTCAGTCACAGTACCCTATACTCTTGTCCCAGGGTCCAGGGTGGTAGCTCGTGTTAGGGTCTCAGCTATGATCAAATAGTGACCTCCACCCAACATAAAAACTATGCAAGTATAATATATATATATATTTATAGTAAAAATACAAGCAGTATATTTTATATAAAAAAATGACAAACAATACATATTACCAACAGGCAGACACTAACAAAGAAATTGCAACCGATTGCTTCATTATTTACTCTTCATACCATCTCCTTAACACAGAAGGGTTTGACGACAAATTCTTAACAACTCCTTGCATTAATGTCAAGACAGTGAATAAATAATCATAGATATTTTCTTTTTCAACCCAATACTGTCAAAAGGTCATTTTATATGAGGTTTAATAAGCTGATAATTTTAAACAAACCTGAGAGACTGATTTTTATTACACTTTTTACTCCATCTTTCTATGGCCTTCAATCACATTACTCTATACTTTTGTTCTCAGGTCCACCCTAACCCAGCGTGGTAGCACCTGTTAGGATCCCACCCCAATACTAACGAATTGTGTTGACTTCAACCAAATCCGTTTAAAATTCTACCAAGCAAACAACATAAAAGAATTTTCCTGACATTAAGCCATAATATCCGATAATTTCTTAAATTGTATTATAAATTATAATTCAACAAAACCATGACATAAAACATATATCACCACCTCTAACATGTTCACACAAACATATATGTTCAGAAAAGCTGAGTATCATCTACCATGTATTCAACTGTGAAAGAAGAATAACATATTTGTATTACTTCCAAGCTCCCAAGAAAATTAAGGAGTTCATGTGCCGTTAAACAGACAAATCAATCAAAATAATACTCTAGGATGATATGCTTTTCAAACAGGAAAGCAATGGATCTTTTAATTTTTTGGTGCTCCTTTTAAGATATTTATGTAGACTTGTGCCCTCTGGTAAATTAGAAATGGTAAATGGAGCAGAATCAAGGCCATACCTATAACAGGCCAGGAAATCACACTTTTCATAGCAGCCACTGGGGGGGGGCAAGATAGGCAGAATTAATGTAACAAAGATAATGCCATAATAATTATGTTCGCACAAACATGTATATGCAAAAAAGCTGAGTATCATCTGCCATGTATTCAATTGCGAAAGCAGAATAACACATATCATATTTTTATTCAATTCTCTCAGACACAGTTTTCGGTCTCTCTACTGATCCAACTCTCTCCATTTTTTTTTCACTTTCATTTTTCCCAATTGCAACTCAATTTACAGTTGAGCTGGCAAGAAGCACCTAATATATATATATATATATATATATATATATATATATATATATATATATATATATATATATATTCCTGTCCATGTCAGGCTCTGTCTCAACATAAGGTTGCGAGTTTTCTTTCAAACGTTCTTGAACCAGTTGTTGAAAATTTTAGCTCGTAAACTATCAAAGATTCTTTTTCGTTTACTCAGGTCATTCGTGATACTCCTTCTAAAAAAAAATATATATATGTATATATATATATATATATGTTCTCCCTTCCCTCTTTATTTTCGACCATATCTGTCATACTCCTCCTCTCTCTATATATATATCACCTTACATCAACTTAAAACCACCCCTCAAATGTGTGTAAGAAAGATATGTAGATTTAAAACATTTTTTCACCCTTGGAAGTGTGATCTGATGAACCAGGTAAAAATCATATACCTGGGGAAATAAATTATAACCAGTGGACCCTTGTCTGTTTTCTATTTAAATTGAATATATATATATATATATATATATATATATATATATATATATATGCTGCGATGGATAAATTGTCGTGTAAATTATAAAAAATGAAAATAACACTGACATATGTTAATAGATATATTAGCCAAATTTACGCAAAGACATCTTGAAATACTAAAGAGTAAATTTATTCAATAAAATCGCCATTGGCCTCAACCACGGCCTCCAGGCGACTTGCGAGTCTTCAGCAACTCTTCTGGACGGTCTCCTTGTTTAAGTTGGTGAATCCTGCCATAATCCTTGCCTTCAGTTCATCTTTGGTGTAACAAGCAGTTTTGTTGGTTTTTTACTCAACTATGCCCCACGCATAATAATCAAGGGGGTTGCAGTTTTGGGAGTTACGTGGCCAGATGTCAGGGGTGTTGTGGTCACAGAAATTGTCTGACAGGTTCTGCTTGTGTGGCATAGTGCCGAGTCCTGTTGCCAGACATAGGGTCCCTTGACCTAGGGCAGCACTAACTTCTCAAGGCGCTTGATGTAGGCGTCCGTGTTGAGTCTGAGGCCCTCACAAGTAAATTCGGGAGTTCGCTTTTTATCAGACCCATCCGATCCCTTTCAGAGTCCTCTACACTCTCTCCAGATTGACAGCCAAATACGTCTAAAAAATGCAAGAACTTAAATGCAAGGCTAGTCGCCATCTTCTTTCCTCCTGAAACCTGTTCTTTTATTGTCCTTTCTTCTCACTCCCAGTAACCCCTTGCGTCTTAGTGGCATTATCGCCATCTTCTGTATTCCTGAAACCTGTTCTTTTATTGTCCTTTCTCTTCACTAAAGTCTTCTCATTCTCTTTCACTCCCAATTACCCCTTGCGTTTTAGTTGCATTATCGCCATCTTCTGTCTTCCTGAAAACTGTTCTTTTATTGTCATTTCTCCTCACTAAAGTCTTTTCATTCTTTTCCTCCCAGTAACCCTTAGGTCTTTCATTATCGCCATCTTCTGTCTTCCTGAAACCCTTTATTGTCCTTTCTCCTCACTAAAGTCTTCTCATTCTCTTTCTTAGTTTTAGTTGCATTATCGCCATCTTCTGTCTACCTGAAACCTGTTCTTTTATTGTCCTTTCTCCTCACTAAAGTCTTTCTCATTCTCTTTCACCCCAGTACTCCCTTTGCGTCTTAGTGGCATTATAGCCATCTTCTGTCTTCTGTCTTTTTTATCGTCCTTTTCTTCTTTAAATTGTCCTTTCTCCCTCCCTTAGTAAAGTCTTCTCCATCTGAAATTTTTCCTTACTAAAGTCTTTCCATCCCAGTAACCCCTTGCGTCTTAGTGGCATTATAGCCATCTTCTGTCTTCCTGAAACCTGTTCTTTTATTGTCCTTTCTCCTCCCTAAAGTCTTCTCATTCTCTTTCACTACCAGGAACCCCTTGAAAAATTTAAATGCATTGTCAATCCTTAATTTCTGTAACAGTCACTAGCTCCTTGGGTGAAACTGTTAACAAATAAATACATAAATAAATAAAACAGTAAAATGATGAGACCTTGCCGCCAAACTAGTACTGCGCTTAAAGTCCGTACCAAAGAAGAAAAGGATCGATAATACGACGGAGATTCTTCCTTTTATGTTATCCAGAATCTGGTAACACATGGCAGGAGTACCGGAAAGGATCAGTAGCAATATTATTGTGATAGATAAAATAAGACTGAGAAGTTTAATCAGTGTCGGCCATTTGAAATCTTTTGCGGCTCCAAGTCGACAGATTGTTAGCATTTATGTGCAAGTGGCGAGACATTGTGCAAAGACGCGAGTAAACATACATATATATATATATATATATATATATATATATATATATATATATATATATATATATATATATATATATATATATATATATATATATATATACCTGTGTGTGTGTTTGTAGACAGTTTTGTTTATTTATAGCGTCGGCACACACCCACACTTATGTGGGGGTAGATATACATGTAAATACACACACACATGTAGACAAGCATATGTAAATACAAACACACGCACACACACACACACACTCATATATATATATATATTAATATGAATTATTTATTGTTGCTCGCGGGTGACTGTTTCAATGGACATGAGTAAATTTATGTGTAGAAGTGAGATTTATTGTTTTGGCCCGACAAATACGATATATGACCATGTATAAAATGACTTTGGAACTTTCGTTTTCATACACACACACACACACACACACACACACATATATATATATATATATTTGTGTGTATTCTATGGACGTATTATGTATATGTGGAAAGTGCAGATAAGCATATTTTCCTATCTATCTCAGTCTGTTCATATCGATCTATCTATGCATTGTTTTCATATTTTCTCTGTGTGTGTGTGTGTGTGTATCTATGTACATATATGTGTGTGTGGGTGTGTTGTGGACTCTCCCTTTTTGAAGGGCCGTATACAGAGACTTGGTGCATTATGTGCCACAAGTTCCCCAAACGAACCCCCGCAGGTTTTGAATTCAGAGTTGTACTTCCCCTAGACCAGTTGCCATCCAAGGCTATAAAACACAGAAGAGGAGGATTTATACCTTTCCCAAGAGTATTAGCACAAATGTAATGGTTTCGACTGGAATTCGAACTCGGCTCTCCGATTCCTCAATCTGAGCCACTATCCAGTACTCTCTCTCTATCTCTCTCTACACACACACACATATATATATATATATATATATATATATATATATATATATATATATATATATATATATATTTATATAATATCCTTTAGAATTTCCAAGATGATATACATCCATTGACTATTGTCCTCATCTCTGTTGCCATATTTATTACAACGTTTCGGCCGTTGTACGCTCCGGCCTTCTTCAGGTAGTTGGAATGTCGAACTGGATCCTTTATTCCGCTCACTGGGGTAGACTGTTCTTGTTCCACGTGCCATGTTTAATGGATGTCAGTTATCAGTTATCTCCTGTTAATTTCCCTCTGAAAGTTCTCCACTGCCTTTACCAGGTATTGAACTCACACTCTTTGGGTCCTGACATTGGATCTAACGAACGCCTTTAGGACATCTGTGTATGAATTTCTGGGTATTATAAACCTAATGTCATCAGCATCCATTTTTTACCAGTGTTCATATTGCACTTCTTGCTGTTAGCATTGCATGTTTTTACCAGAGCACATATTGTAATAAATATGGCGACAAAGATGAGGACGATAGTCCGAATAATGTAAATAGTGTACATCTGTATTACTTTACGTCTATCACTCTCAGTTTCTTCCCATCTATCTATCAATTCTTTTCCAAGAGATTTTCTGTCAGGCTGATGATATAGCGATTTTCCAAACGTAGGGCGCACCCAGTGAGGATCGAACTCGCTATTCTGTCGTAACTGTTTTAGTGAGACAAGCTTGCTAACCATCATACTAAGCCGAGGTGCCGAAAGATGCCATATATATATATAAATACGTCTTGATACATTAAAGCCTATCAGTTCCAGATTTTTAATTATCTATCTATCTATCTATCTATCTATCTATCTATCTTACATTGTTCATATCTATCTTTTCGTAGAGATTTTCTATCAAGCTGTTGGTATATGTAAATACATCTACATACATTTCTATTACTTATACCCATCAGTCTCATATTTTTAAATATCTATCTATCTATCTATCTATCTATCTATCTATCTATCTATCTATCTATCTATTTGTGTCTGTATGCACTTTTCTGTGTGTATGCTTGCGTATGTTCTTCTACAAGGGCGCAATTTTCGTTCTATCTCGCTCTATCCACATGCTCTCTGTTCTTGCGTCTATTTTCGACCGATGTGTGGGAATCACCGCCCGCCCGCTCGACGCCAACGTGGGTATTTTTCTCTCGAAATTCTATGCAGCCTTTCGACCCATAAATGTTTGGCCTTTCCACGTAGACATCTTGAGAACGCGCTGATATGTACAAGCAGACAAAACGCTTGCCAAAGGTCGCTACCCTCTCCCCCACCCACTCACCCAGCAACACACGCACACACACCGATGGTTACACTGGATTATTACCGTTTCAACCTGCAAAATGTACATAACAAAATTAACAAATACATAACAATAGGTGATATAAATATTTAACTTTTTACCCCGATCCAATCGGCCCAGCCTCATTAAATTAAACCATACCTTTTTTTTTTTATACAATTCTCTCTCTCTTTATTTTGTTTTGTTTTGCACTTTTTCTTAAAATGCAGCAAAAACTTGATTTTCATCCGCTAATTTTTTCATTATTATTAATATATTATAAGCGGATTTTTTTAAGCATTTCACCCCAAGCAAGGCGGGAGTGCCACTAGCACGCAAGGGGTTACAGAGGATTGAGAGCAAGAGTAAAGAGGCGTGATAGAGGAAATGATGCAGAGAAGGACAGGGAAGTAGATCAAGTGATCAGAAGATGTCGATTGACATTGTATTTGAATATTTGAAGATTATAGTTCTCAGGGAAGTAAGTAAGAGGAAGGGAGTTCCACTGTCGGGAAGTGCGAGATGAGAAGGTGTTGGTGTAGAAGAGATGGCTAGCTGTTTCGACAGTGAAAGAGTGGGACCGAGATGCCAACCTAGTAGCACGTTTAAATTCATTAAAGTGTGCCAGTAAAAGTAGCACGTCAAAGCAATTTCCATGAAAATATTTGTAGAAAAGACAGAGGGAGCCACAGTGACTGCAGACGAGATGCCAGATCAGGACCTATGACGTTGCATATCCGTCTCTGGCGCGACACAGAGAACCAATGAAGAATTATTTATAATTCGTCTCTTGTTATTCGCATTTTTTTGTTGGTTGTTATATTCACAGCGTTTCGACCGTTATAAATTCTTCAGGCATCTCACGTTAAGGTTCTTGAAATTTTGAACCAAGTTTGGAGATTATTCTCATTCTATGGGAACTTACATTTTTTTTTTACTTATACGTTTTAGGCGCTCTTTAGAGGAATACACCTTATTCTATATGATCTTACATTTATACGTAACACGTTTATTATAATGTTCCTTAAAATAAATTAAATCACTCCACATGATCTTCTATTCTGATTTACCTGTTTCGTTTCTAATAAATATCATCTAAGAAAAGTTAAAACTATCGAACTGATATGAAGTACTATTTTGTAAGCCGGCATTTTATTTACACGCCTGATTTGTTTTCACCTATGATTTGTTTTCAGTATAATTAAGCATAGAAGTGAATGTTGATAATAAACAAACATATATCTCTAATAACGTATTAATATTAACCATTATTATCATAAATCTACATTAGCATTTTCTTTCAATTCAAAATTAGAATGAAAATATCAGTCAAGTATTAATAATAATGATCTAATAAAAATAAAGTTGAAACTAGTCAAAAATTAATAATAATGGCTGACAATGCTTTATATAATAAAAAATGAGGATGAAAGTAAATACTAGTCAAAAATTAATAATAATGGCTGACAATGCGTCATCTAATAGAAAATGAAGATGAAAGTAAACACATATCATGAATTAACAATACACTTTAACAATATTAGATGGAAGTATGTACTAGTCCGATTTAATAAGTAACGAAAAATGAAGATGAAAGTAAATACTAATCAAAATTAATAATAAATTTATGAAATAATTCATCGAATATAAAAGAAAATGTAAATACTACAGTTATTATTACAATCCGTATTTTAGAAACAAATTCAAATCTGTCACTGAGAGATTGCAGAATAAAGCGTTAGATTAATGGTTAGATTTGATCTGCAGAACCGTTTCTTGAGCTCAGTTAGTTGCGCACGTGAAAGGTTCAACCAGCCTTCTCTGAGTCAAAAGTGACATATATTTGAGTCTCAGTGAGTACTTTATTTCCGATCGGCGCTGTTTATTCAATACTGTAGATCGACGTCCTAATTAATTATAATGGATATTATTAACGTTATCTGAAAATATGCAATAAACATTAGTAAATTGCTAAAAATATCTCATGACCTTTATTTGCTAGTACCTACCTTAGGCGGGAGTGCCACTAACACGCAAGGGGTTACAGAGGATTGAGAGCAAGAGTAAAGAGGCGTGATAGAGGAAATGATGCAGAGAAGGACAGGGAAGTAGATCAAGTGATCAGAAGATGTCGATTGACATTGTATTTGAATAATAATTAAGAATAGAAGTGAATGTTGATAATAAACAAACATATATCAAAACTCACATTATCGCGCCGATTAACTTGTCAATTATCCGAGAGTAATTCAATTAAATCGCAGATCATCAGCCAAAACAACAAGAGATTCGACAAACCCTATGAAGAACACCAAAATTCTATATAACATAAACTGAAAAAGGATTACAAATAGCAGTAGCATTAACAAACAAACGATCATCAATAGAATGTTATCAAATTTATGAATGAGCATACTGGACTTAGATCATAAATACATAACGACAATACGAAACTCTAATGTGAAGATGTGATACTTAAAAAAAAATAACGACGTGACGCATGAAGACGCGATATTTGAAAAAACGATGAAGTGACATAGCAAAAAGCAACAAAATTCTTATTATGAATGCCGAAAGTAACTCAAAAATTAAACAATTTATATTTAAACATTCGTCACAAAGCAGGAAAATAGATCGTAATACAAAATAAAATAAATAGAAATATATCTAAAAAATGAAGATTCCTTGGTCTTTAACAAAATATGTATTTCTTTTAATCATTTCAACACAGTTAAGGCAATAAAGCCACTATGACGGAAGATTTTACAAAGTGTTAGAGAATATAAGAAAAATATACTATTAAGGAGAGAAGGCAATAAAAGAACGAGAATTAAGAAGACAGAAGCTAACGACTGACATTGCATTTAAATTTTTGAAGTTCAAAGTCAATAAAGCCACTAGGATGCAAGGGGTTACTGAGTGTTAGAGAATATGAGAAAAACTACTATTAATGAGAGAGGACAATAAAGAACTGGAATTAAGAAGACAGAAGATAATGATTGACATTGCATTTGAATTTTTGAAGATCAAAGGCAATAAAGCCACTAGGATGCAAGGGGTTACTGAGTGTTAGAGAATATGGGAAAAACTACTATTAATGAGAGAGGACAATAAAAGAACTGGGATTAAGAAGACAGAAGATAACGATTGACATTGCATTTAAATTTTTGAAGATCAAAGTGCACTGGAAAGCAAGAAGCGAGATGAGAGTTGTATAAGTGAGAAGTGCGATAGAATAAATTGTTAGCAAATAAATTACGATTGCATGCAACAATTTCAAAATAATGAGGCCTAGCAGCCAATCTAGTACTACGCCTAAATTCACAAAGTCTAGTTACCAAAGAGGAAAGCTCATCAGGACAATTAGCATGATAGTATTTATAGAAAAGGCAAAGAGAAGCTAAGTTATGGCTGTGGGAAAGTGACTGAATCAGAGATGCCAGATTAGGACCTTTAAGATTGCTGATGTATTTTATCAAGAATCTCATAATTCATATACGCATTAAAAAAGATGTGGCAGCAATATACAATGCATGGTCGAATGGTAAACTTATAAACGGATAAAATATATTCTGGCAAGAAAAAATTTCTTGTACACTAATTTTCCTACTAGCAGACCTATCAATTGGATCAATGTCTTCGTTTCAATTAATTGCAATGAATCACTCTCCTGAAAGTTAGCATATTACTTTCAACGTTATATTTAGAAGATAACTGGTATATGTTTTTCAATATTGCAAATCTACATCTGCTGGCCTTAAAAATGTGCCTTTCAGTAGTGTTCGAACAGTGGCCTAAACGTGTTGACAGTCACAGGAAGCTTACACAGTCCAGCAGACGTCGACTGAGGCATTTCGCTGCCAGGCTTGTGACTGTTTTGTCGAACTTTCTCTTTGCAGAGAGGAACCCAGACGAGGCTATGCCAAAGGACAGAGTCTCGTTTGGGGAGTTAGACAAACCCGGTCCCGTGTATGCGGGGAATTTTTGCCCGAGCCTACGTAAAAACTGGCCTTGTGTCGCATCCTGACTTGTGGGGAGGTTTGGTAAATACTCAGACCAACAAGTTTCAATTACACTTTGAATAAATGCACCTTTTTATCTTCCTCAATGTCTACAATCTTGACTTGAAGAGGCTTAGGTCAACCGTTATATACCCTACATATTCTCACATCTTTCTTCTTCCCTTTACACCCTTAGAACAACCTCATTCAGTCGCTTTCTGCCTTGAGTGGCTCTTGGGCTTTGCATATAGGAAATAAATGACAATATGGCACTCACAGCAAGCAAAATGCATTCATAAATTAATTCGCTAGTGTAGTGCGTATGATTTCCACTGGGCGCTCTTCTCGTAAAGCCTTGTGGTAGACTTGGCTTTTTGATTAAATACAGTCAAAATCTAGTTTTCAGAATTAATTATACAAAAATTATTGAGGCGTGAAAATTAATTATTGAGAATTGTCAGAAAAGGAGAATTTACTCAGGAACAGAAGCGTAAACACTTGAAGACAGACGAAAGGGTCGACAATTGCCAAGAGATTATGAGTCATAAGCTTATATAATTTGGCCTTAAGCCAGACATGTATTGGTTAAAACATCAAAAGTTTGGCCAAAAAGTAATGTCAATTCTAACTTAATTTTAAATGTATTAGTCAGCATATTTTTTTAAAAATTAATTTATTTATTCATTGGCTTACGGCCATATCACCGTTTATTGTCCGATCACCGGAGTTAAGCAACGACGAGCCTGGTTAGATAAATGAGAAATCGGATAGCCGAGTTCGAATTCCCCTCCAGCCTATGGGTTAAATAGCAGAATAGATTGGGTTCTATAGCCTTAGTTGATGACCAGTTTCCCGCAGGAAGTAACAACAGCCTCCTGTGGGAACTCCTTTACGAAGCTATCATAAATCGACCGACCAAACCTGCCTCACATTCGGCACT